AATGGAGGGTGGGCTGGGGGTAAGGGGAGGGCGTGGGAGGGGGGAGAATAGAGGAACCCATGGCTGATATGTAGAACTGAATGGTATTGTAAAATAAAAAATATATATCAAAAAAAAAAAAAAAAAGAAAGCAGGCAGGCTGGAACGCCAAGAAGAACAAGCCAGTGAGCAGCATTGGCCTCTGCGTCAGCTCCTGGCTCCAGGTTCCTGCCCTGACTTGCTTTGATGAGGAACTGTAATATGCAAGTGTAACAAAAATAAACCCTCTGCCTCCCCCCCAAAAAAAAAAAAAAAAAAAGAAAATGAACTATTTCAGATGAATTAAATCATTTAACTGATAGCTTAAAGTGTGACTTATTTTGAAACAAATTATTTTATGATTATATATTGATTACAATTATGTTGATATTATTAAAATTTATTCAAGTATTTAGGGTTTTTTTTTTTTCATCAGACCTTATATTCAATTTCTGTCCATCACTTTGTACAGTTGATTCCTTTGCAGAAACTGTTGGAGCAGTATCCCTATGAAAGTTTAACTTCAGGAAGATAAGTGCTGGTGGAACTTTTAGGTGTTAGACATAGTCACGCAGCTGGGTGGTGGTGGTGCACTGATGGCAGAGGCCAGCCTGGTCTACAAAGTGAGTTTTGGGACAGCCAGAGCTACACAAAGAAATCCTGTCTCCAACCCCCTCCCCAAATACCCACAAAACAACAACAACCAACCCCTGCCCCTAAAACCATCGTGCTATTTAATTTAGATCCTTCAAGATTTACTATAATTTTAAGTAAGGTTCTTCAGTATTGGTTCTTATATCTAGAATATTGTGCTGTAATGTCATTTGCTGTGTCTTAGCATAATGCTGCTAGAAACCGAAACTTACGTTCTATCCATCTTTATTTTTGCCTAGTTCCTTTGTACATGACAGTTGAGTTGTAAACTTGCAAAGTTTGATTACACATTTCTTAGTCTAAGTTTGTATTTGAGAGAAACTGTGTGTGGTTTGTTTTATTTGGTTTTGTTGTTTTGAGACAGTTTCTCTGTGTAGCTCTGGCTGTCCTAGAACTCACTCTGTAGACCAGGCTGGTTTCAAACTCACAGAGATCTGCTTGCCTTTGCCTCCCAAGTGCTGAGATTAAAGGTGTGTGCCACCACCACCTTGCTGAGAAGGTGTGTGTGTGTGTGTGTGTGTGTGTGTGTGTGTGTGTGTGTGTTTTGGTTTTTGAGACAGGGTTTCTCTGTGCAGTTTTGGTCCTGTCCTAGAAACTTGCTCTGTTGACCAGGCTGACCTTGAGCTCAACTCACAGAGATCTACCAGGCTCTGCCTTCCAAGTGCTGAGATTAAAGGCGTGCGCCACCACCACCCAGCGCATAAGAAGCTGTATTTTTATTTTATTTTTTTTTTTTTTTTGGTTTTTTCGAGACAGGGTTTCTCTGTGTAGCTTTGCGCCTTTCCTGGAGCTCACTTGGTAGTCCAGGCTGGCCTCGAACTCACAAAGATCCGCCTGCCTCTGCCTCCCGAGTGCTGGGATTAAAGGCGTGCGCCACCACGCCCGGCTAAGAAGCTGTATTTTTAATCTCATTGTAATTAGTACATGGTAACTAGAAACATCAGACCTGTAAGGGGACAGATGTAGACAGATGACATTTGCCATTGTGATATTTATATTTCTAAGAGAAGAAAAAGTTTGAAACATTGTTGGTGATCTTTTTTCTTACAGTGAGAATTCTCGACTGGCTGCTGAAGTTTACAAAGACATGCCTGAAACCAGCTTTACTCGGACAATTTCTAATCCTGAGGTAGTGATGAAACGGCGGCGGCAGCAAAAGCTTGAAAAGAGAATGCAGGAGTTTCGGAGCTCCGATGGGCGGCCTGACTCAGGTACAGAGAGAGTCGTTTTTCTTCATATTCCTTGTGAAATGTGTTCAGTTTTACTTTTTATAAATTATTTCTGAAACTAAAAAGGTGAAGAAGCAGATGTGTCCCATGTATGTCTTACATAGAGTTCTTTTCACTTAGAGAAACTGCTAGTCACGTGTGCTCACCAGCATGGCTTTGCTCCCACCCTTCCAACCCAGAAATGTGTTAAACATATCCAAAATATAAGAAAGATAATGACCACAATTTTGAAAATTATTACCTCATATTCTTCTCTTTCACTATGTATTGCCCTCTAAGTCCCAAACTACTATTTTGAAACATATTGCACACTTACCAGTTCATCTATAAATATTTTAGTATATTTTCGTGAAGGGTGAAGACTTAAAATACAATTTCAGTACCACTATCACATATAGAATAACAGTTATTCCTGTAATTGCTGAAACTTTCCTGATTGCTTTTGATATTCTCTCTCTCTCTCTCTCTCTCTCTCTCTCTCTCTCTCTCTCTCTCTCTCTCTCTCAAAAGATGGAGTCACATATTTTCAAGTCTGTCATTCTAGAATTCCTTTTTAGTTTACTTTGTGTTTTGTTGGTTTGTTAAAAACTTAAGTATGCTGGTTGGTTTTTGTCAACTTGACACAAACCTGGACATACCTGGGAAGAGGGAATCTTAGTTGAGAAAAGGCCTCCCTAAGACTGGCCTGTAGGGGAGTCTGTGGGTATTTGTCTTGATTAATGGTTGATGTGGGAGGGCCTAGACATAAACCCTTTCCTCCCCAAGTTGCTTTCCTGTGGTCTTGATCACAGCAATAGAAACCCTAACTAACACACTAGGGTTTTTTGTCTCGTAGATTTTGGTGACATCCTTTGCTGCTCATGACTGTTTTCCCTTCTATGTTTTGTTTCCTTGATTAGGATGTCGTTGCAGGTGCAGTTGAAGCTATTAGTGTGGCAAGAATATTTACTTTAGTGTCCTCTAAAGTTGATAGGCGATGATTAAAACTTCCTCATACATTTGTGTTTAAGATTCCCTCTCAATTTGGAGTCCACTGCATCTGTTTTCTTTCTGTTTATGAGATTCATACCTGGAGCCAGTTGGTGTCTGTGGTTTCAGCCGGCTTTCTTTCATGGGGAGGTATCTCTTCCTTTGCCTTGGAGATACTTCTCCAGTGGTCCTTCGTCCTTTAAACTGTTGTGATTTTAGAGAACTGGAATGCCTTCTGCAATTATATTCTTGCTTGCCAATGATCTTAATAAATAATAATAGTGTTAAAATAAAAATAAGTTTAGTGTTCGGGTGTGGTAGCCCCTTCCTTTGATTCCAGTAGAGGCATGTGAATTTGTGTGAGTTCAATGCCAGCTTGGTCTACAGAGGAAATTCCAGGCCAGTCAGGGCTATGTAGTTAGACTTGACTGTCTTTTTCTTTTCTTTTTTTAAAGGATTAGCAGTATGATCCTGAAAATATTTTAAGAGTTTTGTGAAATTGTGTATATGTATGTATATATGTGTTTATTTCCAAAGACATAAGACAGATTGTTGTTTTAACACATAGTTAATTCTTATTTATATGGCAACATTCTATGTTGGTTTATACTTGGGCTTCTTTTCTTTCCTTTTCTTTTTCCTCTCCTTTTCTCTTTTCTTTGGGGGTGGGGGTGGGGGCTCCTGGGGGTGGGGGCTCCTAGACAGGGTTTCTTTGTGTAGCCCTGGCTATCCTGGAACTCACTCTGTAGACCAGGCTGCCTTGAACTCACAGAGATCC